TCTGGCACTGACCCTCCTGCTGGACTAAGCACCGGGCACCTACCAGGGCTGGAAAAGGTGCCAGGAAGCCTGGCGTTTCYGAGCCACCCCCTGTCACGGCTGCAGCACTCACAAAGACCGGTGCTCCATGGAGGTGAAGGATGGTGAACACTTGCTGGCAGTAGTGAAGGACTATGCACAGCCAAGGATGAACGGGCTGCTGCAGCTAGAGCAGTATGTGCATGGAGAGAGCAGAGGGTGACAAAAAAAAGGAGTCACAAAGCGGGGTGATGAAACTACCAAGTAATCTGCACATTACAGCCATGGCAATGACACAAGAATCAGGATGGTTAAAATCAAACAGAGGCTGCCTGGAAGGGAACAGACGAATGGCTTGCGGCGCAGAAAGCTAAGGCGAGGGGGAAAGGGGCACCAGATCCATTCCTTTCACTCACTGCTGACCCCTAATAATGGCTTTTTGTTAGGTCGGGGGCCTCCAGTGAAGCAGGATGCTCTCATCCCATTCAGCCTTGCCCGGCGTATGCCTTTGCTGCTAGCATGAGTAAGGAGACGTGACTTCTTTCATCCTGCGAGAGCAGCCATGAGAAAGCAGTGCTGGAGCTAAGGACGTGCCGGGGACAAGAGGATCCCTCTGGATGGGTCCCTGTTTGTATTTCTGCTTGTGCAGTGCAGAGCCAGGCTTTGAGCCACTCTCTGGCTCCTGGGGACAGTCCGGATGACCTGAGTTGACTGGAGGTGAGGAAGGGCTCTTAACACAGCATGGGAAGGGAGATGTTTCTGGCTAGATACTGGCACCCCAGGCAATGAGGRAGGCAGGTGAGCTGCCGAGCATCCGTTTGAAGAGTAAAGAGCACGGAAAGAAGAGAGGACAGAATTCTCACAGAAAATGTGAGAATTATGGACTCATCCTGAGGACGCCCCAGAGGCTCTTCTAAACCACTGCATTTAAAATCTAAGCTAAGGCAAGGTGGATGCCCAGCTAACACTAACTCTACAGAGCGGGGATGCCTGTCACCCCCAAGGGCGCCCCATTTTCCCGCAGGTCAGTTCTCTGCTGTTTAGACTTCTTGCAATCAGCCACATCTTCCTTCCTGGAAGGAAGGAGGAAGAGGAGGATTTGAAGTGGGCACTCACACTCGCAGAAAGACAAGCACCTGGGAGCTGAGTTTTCACGGGAGCTGGATGGTACCTGGAGGAGAGGAGTCACCTTCACCCTTCATTGTGGGGATATTTGTCTCCTTTCTGTGTAGACTCAGAGAAACGGAGGGAGCAGAGGGGTTGGTGGGACCAGCAGAGGGCAAGCGAAGGCCGTGCAAGGCCCGTGAGCTCTCTCTCTCCGCAGTGGCTCCCACTCTCCATCCTCCTTGCAGCTCTCCCAGCCCTGTTGGGTTGACATTGGATAAGCAGAGCCACCCCAGGGCTTCCCCTCCTTGCATCAACACATCCACCTTTTCTGCTTCCCCCAGCTCCCACTTCTGCTGTTCTCCTTCCCTCTTCTCTGGAGCTGAGGAATGTGGTTTGGTTTGAAGGCCCTGCAGTTTGTGGAGATATGTCTCTGCAGAGACTGTGATAGAAATGTGGCAAATCTTCCCTCCCTACCACCTCAGCATGGGGAAATCTCCTTCTGTTTCCCTACCACTGCCGCTGAAGGCTGCTGATGACATAGCCTTCAAAGCCCACTGCTTGCTGTATGCAGTACCYATCGCCTCTGAGCCATCCCAGGTCCCAGGGTGAGCACTCAGTTTGTCACAAGAGAGGTTTGTGTCCCTCTCCATGCCAAAAGCAATAGCCAAGAAAGCCCCTTTGCAGGCCTGGACCTGCTGTGAGCATCTGGAAGTGAGGGTCTGYCTCCATGTCCTTGCGTTGCCTGGTGCAAAGCGCAGATCCCTGCAGGACACCATGTGAGATACCTGCTCCCAGCAGACCCAGTGCTTGAGCCACAGCTTTTGCCCCAAGAGCCTGTGTGTATCTGTGCCCATGATCGAGCTGGGAAAGAGCTGTGTCCTTCCAATCCTTTGTTAGATGGGACACTCGCCTGGTGTCACACACCTTCCTGCTGGGTGCTGCAAGGCCAGTCGGAGGAGCAGGAACTGGAGTCCACGAGGCCGCCAGCCCTGCATGCAGCAAACACAAGAGTGGCAGAAACCACGTGTGTGTGGACTCCCCTCTCCTGCAGCCCTCCTGCCTGCGGGACCTGCAGTGCGRTGGGTGCTCTTGGCTTGCTGGCTGCCACGTTTGCAGTGCTCGCACGCTAAGGCACGAGCAAAACGCTGCCACTCTGGGTCTCACCATTTTGACTTGTACTGCAGTGAGTCTCGCTGGTCAGCAGCTCCACGGCTGTCTGAGCGCAGATTTACACTTTTTCTCTTGGGCTCTCTGTCTACCTCCAAAAAGTGGTAGTATGCTGGGAGCAGTGGAAATGGGGAACCAGGAAACAGCTTCTGCCCAACTCATTTGTCCTTTCCCTGATGTGAGGCCTGTGGACACGGTTTCAAGGACTTTCTCTGTATTGTAGCTGCCCTCTCTTCCATCACTTTTGGTCCTAGGACAAGGGGACCCTGCACTTTCCTCTGAGTGAAGAAACTGGAGCACAGAGACCACTGTGAGCTTCTGTGAGGTGACACAGCCGCCCAGCTCAGCACTACCCTGCGCAGCTGGGCCTTGCCACCTCACAATCCCTGCTCATTTTCCTAATAGTCCTCATGATTTCTAGTGAGAAAAACTGCTTTCAGATCAGTCCTTGGGATCACTTTGTGTCACCTGAGGGGATTATCCTGTCCAGCCCACCTACCACCTTGGTCATTGCAACCTCATCTCAGCCCAGCCACAATGGCCTCAACTTTCCTAATGATCAGTAGCTTCTCCTCAACCTGCTCACATCTGGTGTGCGTGCAAGCCATAACCTGACCCCACAGTTACCTTCTCCGCTGGTGTCCAGATTTGGACATTCAGGACTTTGCAGCCTGCGTCTTCCTTGCTCTGCAGGCGCCCGTTTGTCCCCAGTGGGGGACAGTGCCATACAGCTCCGACTGCAAACACCTCGAGGTCGCCCTTCCTCCTAGACCTCCTCTGCCCCATCTCATGGCGGGGTTGCCTGGGTTTAGCCCTGGCTGTGTCCCTGCTGCTGGCGTGGGCAAAATGTATTTCCTTCAACAAGGCTGAGAGTGCGCAAACAAACAGCATTTCCCTGGGGACTGCAGGCCAGCTGGAGTCTCTTTCTTTATGAAGCTTTTAAGCATCTGCCAGCCCATCAGGGCTGGGGGACACGCACTGAGTTTCCATCTCTTTTGGATAACTTTTCTGAACATGAAAAAAGGGGATTTGACTGCTCTGCCTGGCTAACCAGGGATTTCAGGGAGACGAGAAGTGCACGGAGTGCTGCACGGGAGCTTTGCGCCGGGCCCAGTGCCCTCAAGTGCAAACAGTGGGCAAGTCCCGCACCACGCTGGCGCCTCTCCGCTCACCTGAGGTAGCCTTGCCAGTCCTTGCATTCCTTGGAAGGGCATCTGGGGGAGGGACATTTCCCAGGTTGAGCTTTTCTGCTCACCTCCACCTCCTCACACAGTTCCTGGTTACATTAGTTTTATGTTTTCTTCCTGCATGGGAATCATGTAGTCATTTTGCAGGGGGACATGGAAATGGCTGAAGAGACGTGTCAGGATGTCAGGATGAGATGGAGGCTGCTGTGGCAGGGGGGACTCCGGACTATGGATGACAGGGAAATGCCCACGTTTTGCTTCCCTCCTGATCCAAAAGCTCAGGCCTGGCTCTGCTGTAGCCCATGCATTGCAGGAGAGAGCAGACGCTGCACACCAGGAGGCTGTTCACCTGCCCAGGAAAGCCCGGATTTCTTCTGCTTTGGGAACCAGCTGCAGGATGATGCGTGGTCTTCCTTTGCAGCATATTTGCCATCCCGAGCCAGCAGCAGTTCCCTGCTCCTGCAGCCGGTGTTGCCGGTACCATCACGTTGCTTGGCCCATTGGGGTGTCTTGCTGCTCTCAGCATGAACCTCCCTCCTGGTTTCACCCACGCGATGATGGGCACGCTCCTTACCGGCCCTGCCCCAAAAATGGGGGCTCACAGTGGGTGGGAGGTTCCCCCCGACCCCTGCATGTGCCACACGCAAGCCCWGGGGGTCCATGGCCTCCCGCGGCCGTCCCGCTGCGCCGTGCGCAGGTGAGGYCGGACAGCGGCAGGTGGGGCCGCCTCGCCCCACGGGACCCCCAGTACGGGTGGATGCCCCGCGCCCCGACGAGGGGGGCATCTCCCTGCTGCGCGGTGGCCCCATCCCGGCCGGATCGACTCGGATCCCGGCGGAGTGGCCCCTTCCCGGCCCGGCTCGACCCGGCTCCCGGCGG